TAAGGAATATCGTGGACGGGCGTATACCTAAAATGGCCCGATCAACCCATCTAATGGAGTGGCAAATTCGACGCTGGAAATCACACCACAGTTCCATAAGCACTAGTTTGGTGCCTGGTGGAATAAACCACAAAAAGTAATTTGTTCGTGAATGCACCTAAATGTATACATGATTGGCTTGGTAACCATACCTATCGACAGCAAACGACCAAGCGTGGCGTCATTAAAAAATCAGACGGACTAGAGCGCGAAGGGTTTTGTGTACTTAGTCATGAACAAGGTTAAATAATGCGTGTACATGACTAGCGGCCTCAAATATCACCCAGCATATGTATATTCGCATAGGAAACATACGTCAAAACGCGCGGTTTTCTATGATATTTGGTATTCAATAAATATTAATAAGGGCAGTGGTTGATAGGTGTGTGGAGTTGCATCTACCATTTCTATTGTAATCAGACGAAATATTATCGTGCATGATAATCAGATGAAAGCATGGAGTAAAATCATTAAAAAACACTCACCAAGACTCGACTGAAACTAGGGAGGTAGACAAAGCTGCAAGCGTCGTCAAAGTGGCGAAAGACGCTTTCGAAAAGAGCCTTAAAAGATAGGAAGAGAATGGGGAGAGATTACCTTTGAAGCAGCATCAGTATAGACTTCGCGGGGAACCTTTGTAACAATCAATTTTTTTGTAAGACAGGACAAGGTCTGAAAGGCATCCTGAGTTTCCTGGATCGAAAACTTGCAATCTTCAAGAAAATCTGCATCTTTCAAACAGTGCTCCATTTTTATTAAGAGAAAACACGAATCCCATAAAATCAAGCCACTTGAGAAAAGCGGGCCATAATAAGTTAATTATAACACAGAACGCAGACACAGAAGTGATTACGCGAGTTCTAGGAATCAGTTGAGAAGAAGAAGATATAATAGCTGGAGCACAAGTTGAAAATTCTGTCGAGAATCCTTAATCATAGGTAATCATAAGATAGTCTGAGACATGCGCAGGTAGGGGTGATTGCGCGAGTTCTATGAATCAGTTGAGAAGAAGAAGATGTAATCGCTGGAGCACACGTTGCAAATTCTGTCGAGAATCCTTAATTCATAGGTAATCATAGGATAGTCTGAGACCTGCGCAGGTAGGGGTGATACATGCACAGATTGCGCGGCAGGAAGCGGCTGAAGTCGTTTACGGGACAAAGCAATTACGTCGGAGAAACCGGAAGATTAATTTGGACGTGAATAGCCGAGTATGCAACGGCGGTGCGGAAGAAAGACGCTAACAACCATGTTGCAGCTCATTCAACGGGACCTGACCATATTTTTAAGTTTAACGAGGCAGCAATCCTTGCAAGACGTGACAACCACGTGAGCCGCCAGCTGCTTAAGTCACGGTTCTCAGGCCCCCAACAGCAACGATTTCGCATTCTCATACTGCGTACTGAGACATTGCCTGAGCAAGGGAATTAGTCACTTGCGAAGAGCTGGGTCCAGCAACAACTCTAACTACTGTCATGTTATTATCAAGGCCACATCCGACACGGGCAACGAAATCGCGTCAATTAATGAATCGAACGCGAAGCGTCAGGCCATCACCGCATCAATTTAGACCCCAGGCTGCGGCTACATCAGCTGATAATTATAGTACGCATGTGGATGAACTATAAATACTGCGCAGTGTGTGCATGTATCATCCCTATCTGCGCATGTCTCAGACTATCCTGCGATTACCTATGATTGGGGATTCTCGACAGAATCAGTAACGTCAGGAAAATAAAAATCTTGTTCCTGTGATCACTTCTTCTTCTTCTTCTGAAAGTTGACTTGTCTGGAGACCCATATCCCCTTTATTTTGTTTTCTCTGAACCAAAAACGAACATAAGAATTATGCTCAAACCTAATCTTGACTGCAGTTCAGAAAGGTGATAAAGGTAATGTGGCTATTATTTCGATAAATTGTGCCACATAAACATACGGCAAAAAGATTTTTACCTTGAAAATGGTGGATTCCATACGAGCGGCAAAGTTGGGTGAGTAATATCAATCCAAGTTTGATTAAACTTACGGTGTGAAGCGTGGCATTCGCACCTCAAATAGGTAGAGCGTTGGCTTGTGTAGAAGGCCTTCGCTCTTATGCGGGTTCGAATCCCGCCGAAAGCCGCGAATTTTTTTCACAATCAGGTCAACTAAATGAAGCATAATCATTAAACGTCTCAGGAATCCGTTAAGAATTAACCCCAGAAAACAGCACGTGATCCCATGGGCAAATCGTTGTCTTCTGTTGTTCATTGTTGGCAAGTGTACCATACTTCGGCTTGACAAACTAACCAGATCCACTGAAATACGCAAGTATTTATCAAGCACGCGGAATTGCGGAACGTAGAAGACCCCAAACTTATCTCTGCATACTGAGGACGAAGTCCGAAAAATTGTCCATTTATTGCTCGGGAGGGACAAATAATGTACATTTCGTCTTTAATACATTCAATAGAGCCTTTATTAATGGGCATGAAGATTCTGGGAACATTTAAGTAGGAAGCATGTAAAGTACAACACACAACTTTGGAGAACGTGGACAGTCCAAGAGAAAAATTGCATCGCCTAAGTTATTAGAGGGGCCACCAAAATGGTTAAAAGTCCAAGTATTTTGGCTTATGTAACCTGCATAGCGCACCTTAGTCTTATTTCCTTTGGTCATGAGTAAATACGCAAGTTCTCTTCGTCAGAGAACTTGCAGGCAAATATAAATCGGCTCGAAAAAGAGTCAAAAGACTGGCTCTTGCCGTTTAATGAGAGTAAGTGCAACATCACACGAGTCGGCAAAGTCAGCTCTTCGAACCGGCTAAATGGCATACCACTGAAAGAGGTAGGAGGCCAGAAGGACTTGGGAGTCTGGATCAAGTCCTCGCTTAAACCCGCCC